TAACAACAGCTTAGCAACCATATGAAGAATAGCTGTGTAGGATTCCACATGGAAACAATGGACAGATTATAATGCGTTAAATGATAAGCACATCAGATATCGATTTTTTCAGTGGAGGTCATTTACTAAATCTTAGCTCTACTTTGGTTTGGGACATGCATTATGAGTTATGAGGAACTACATTTGCTGGAAAATCCAGTTACATAGTTTCCTCATGTTTTTGCGTATGAACTGGAAATGCAACGTGATTAGTAACATAGCACACCTTTCTCATCACACCTTTTCTTTCTAAAGACAATTTAGACTGCTGTCTTCCCAGCCTGGTACCAATGTATTTATTTATTTATTTCTATTTTTTAAATATATGTCAGTATGCATACGGTGTATATGTATTTGTTGCTTTTGAGGATGAGTAGTCCAAGAGGAACGATCCAGGCATATCTCTCTTCTTATCATGTACTTGAATTTCACCCAATGCTAACCCAATACCCCCATCTATAACCTTGAGAAAATCCCACAATTTAATTACTTTATCAGGCAAAATAATTAGCCAATTCTCCTGCGTGATAGCTGGCTCATCATTTGGTGGGTACAGTATTTGACTGTGTCTGTGAAGATTCTCAGATTATCCAGGTCACATCAGAATGTCTAGTTCAGTTATTGCAATGTCTAAAAGCAACAAGTCCTATTGACTAAAATATATCTATTAGACACATACTTGGCTATAAACTATTGTAGACACATTGGATATCAAATTTTATTTTAGGGGGATAAAAGTTATTTACAAAAGAATTCCTTTAGTCAAAGTACATATTTCCACATGAATAATGTATAGTTTTACTAGTGATGGCACAAAGTGTTAAAAGATGTAAAAACAAATTTTTTTCAGCCATGATTTTTCAGTTTGCCATAATTGGTTGAACTGTCATCATGTACCATCACGTACATACCAGGAAACAAATCTGTTTATTTTGGTATTGTTGTTCGTCAAGTTTGTCAGCAAACTTGAAACTCTCATCTCAACTCTCATTGGTTGGTTCTTCAAATGAAAAAAAAAGTTCTCACTTTAAATATCAGTTCACCTGTCTGCTGGGATTTTTTAGAGGTGACACGAACTTGCTATAAGGATTAACTTGGATTGCCTTTTGTGGTGCAATATTTAAAGAGTAAGATTTTTTTTTTTCAGTTGTTCTGTATCCAATCAATTTGCTATAAACTGTTATAAAAATGTATCTAACTTTAACATGACAAAGATTATGTAACAAGTGTGTGCTTTTTTGTAAATCATAATGCAAACTTTGTGTGGAATATATTATCATGTTTTATTAAATCTGTAATTGCTTGGTCAATCTAACTGTATTTGTTTGTTTCTTATGCAGCTCTTAATACTTTTTGAAATTTTTATATCAAGCCATGTGGATTTTTAAATAGATTTTATTCTGTTATATTATAAAATGTGTTTGATTTTTGAACTTTGCTACATTATACATATATGCTTCATTTTCATTTTTAGGCATACTGCTAAAAGGACATAGCAATGGAGTGGAGGATTATAGTACCTGTTCTGTGTCTAATTGGTAAGAACCAAGTAGTGATGCTTGTTCTAAATAATTAGTGATAGTTATTGTTCATCATTGCATTTAAATTACAAAATGACTTCATGGTCAGAAACTATACGTTTAAAATAAAATCATAATAACAACAGGAAAGGATAGTGAAAAAGAAAGTGACAAACATTCTAATAATACTTTTCCAATAATTGATTTTCACAATAATCCAGCTGTGATAGCTCTATTATCATAATTACAAAACTAGCAGTTCATCGTTAATGTCCAAAATCAAAGTAATAATAATAATTATCATTTTGTTTTGTTTTGCTACCATGCCTCATTTTCCTAATTTCACCTTAAACAGGAATCCTACATGTGCAAGGAAATGCTGCTCAGTCCAACAGTTCCACCAGCATCAACAACAACACCATCACTGGTCAGTGTGTGTTTACAGATTTATCTTAATTTGATCATATTTTACTGTCGTTAAATCAGGCCTCAAAGG